ATTTTTTTTATAAACATTAAATTAATATATCTATATTAATATAATACTTTTTGTTAATTTTTTATAGCGAGTTCTTTTATTAGAATCTTGGAAAGATTTTGAAAGTAATCATGGTACTGAAGATAGTTTATCGGTTGTTGAAGGAAAAATGCCTAAAGTTGTTAAGAAAAGACGCAAATTGGATGATGCTGAGGGTCACACTGGTGGTGTTTCATGGGAAGAATATTTTGATTATATATTTCCTGATGATCAAACTCAAAAACCAAACTTTAAATTATCAGCTACAGCTCATGCTTGGTGGCAAAAGGTAGGTCCATTATTATTATTATTATTATTATTATTATCATCATCACCATCAAATAAAGTATGGATATAAAAAAATTTTTTTTAAATAGATGCAACAACAGCAACAACAGCAACAACGTCAGCAAAACCAAGACGATCACGATGATGATAATGGTGATGATAATGATAATGATGATGATGATAATGCTAATGTTGTTGATAATGATGATGATAATGTTGATGATAATGTCGTTGATGATGATGATAATGTTGATGATAATGTTATTGATGATGATGATAATGTTGTTGATGATGATAACGAGGAGGAGGAGGAGGAGAAATAAATAGATATTAAATTATATATATATTAAAATAAATATTTTTGTTATCTTATTATTATTAATTGTTTTAATAATGAACATTGTAAAAATTTAATTAAAGCTGATGGATGATATCACACATTTTTTTAATGACCAATGGTCATTAGGCACATCAGCCGATTTGGTTTTTTAGCCCTTTTTTTCAAACCCTACACACACATGTAAACTCGGCAGGTCGGCCATTTATTTATTTAAACAATTGATTGCTTGCATCCGACTTAACAAGCTTACACTAAAGAAATTTATTTGCTCCGCCGTCAAACCAATGGATTTTTGAGGGTTATGATCATACCACAAAATCAACGCGTAAGGTCATAAATTTTGACCAATAGAAAAATAAAAAAAGAGAGTCCCTTGTTAAGAGTGATTTCGTAACAAAGTAATTTGTTGTCCCGCATTATAAAAAAGTCTTTCTGAAGGAACTGATGATGAATAATAATTAAATAAGCCTCACCTACAAACATGTATGTATTTTTATTTTAATAATATTAAAGGTGGGGCTAAGATCATAACTATAATGAGCAGTGGCATCAATACTGCAATATGGTGTTTCACCTTTGAATAATGTTGATCAACTAATTTTCTTTGTTCTTCTGCCAATTTATGTTTTTATTATAATAATTTCTTTCTAATCTTGCCTTGGATAGATGTTCTTTAAATCTTTTGAATAAATCTTTAGCTTCTTCCTCCTGGCGAGCATTGTAGTGTAAACCATTTCGAAAATGTTGACAAGTATCACATAAGTCAGTCTTTGGACTCATAATTTGAATCTCTGGTGTTAATTGATGTCATAGTTTTCTAAATGCATCATATTTTAGGATTTTAATTTGCCATCTTCTTCCAGACCAGCTAGAAAATCTCTATACACTATTTATAACTCATTTCAGCTGGTAAAAAGATAACTGACTGAGTTATTTTATTGACACTCCTTCCTGGACTTGGTAATCCATGGACTTCTGCATAATTTTCCAGGAAATTTTTTACTATTTCAGCACATTTTTTTCAATCACCATTTTAATTTTTCATTGAGACATCCTTTTAATATTACCATGAACTCTTGTTAAAAGACCATGATTTATCAGATGATTTCTGATATTTTCAAAATAAGTTTCTTAACAAAGGGGTGTATTGTGATCCCAATGATAGAAAGTCCTTTTGTTAGACCTAGCTTTCTTTTTAAATCATCTACTAGTGCTTATTAATCCCCCATCCATTGTTTAAGTTGGGTCATTAAAAATATATCTTGTTCTGATTTAGAAAGAGCTTGAAGGAATTCCCTTAATTCTGCAAATTGTTCCTTGGGAATTCTTGAAGAGCAACCACAATTACAACCTTTTTCTAAAAAATTAACTGCTTTCTGATATTCATTAGAGCCATTATATTTACTATTACTTTTCATATACACTTATCCCTATATATATAATTTTATAATTTTATGTTCACTTTGTAGTTTTTTATAATTGTTTTAAAATTGAAGGAAAGTACATGAATGGAATTAAACTTTAGATGAATCAATGGAATAGTTTTAGGTAAATGATTTAAAAGACATGATTGTTCAGTAACTTGTGAAGAGAAATTTGGTCAACCTCCCCATGAAAAATAATTATGACCTAGATTTAAATTGGCTTATTATCATTAATAATCAAAATGAGAAAAGATAACTTAAAAAGCAAACAATAAATGAAATAATAACAAGTTAATAAAAAATTGACTACCTTTACCAATGAATTTTTCCACACATTGTTGATCATAAACAGAAAACGTTATTATTGCTTTAAAAAATCATGTGTAGTGATTTATATTTTGTTTATTTTTTATAGATGTAAAATTTACTTAATTTATTTGAGATAATCAATTAAATATCTTCTGATAGATTATAACAATAATAGTTTATTTATATTTTTATTATTTATGTATTTTTAACATAAAAGTATTATACTCTAAGAAATAATGGGTAATTTGTATTTTTACAATAATTAAAGGGAATTGTTATTCGTACCCCATGTGACTAAGTGTAGTAATGTGACCCCATACTAAACAACAATACTCATGTTTTATCATTGAAAATAATTGTTTTTCCAAAAAAAAAAATATTTATACACCGAGTGCTAATAATAATAAATATTTTACGTGTTTTTTTTTGCAGATCTGTGTGCCTAAAATCCAATAATATTCCAAAAATTTTAACTTTTGAATGGTTTATAATCCTGTATTTTTTACCTTAAAAGTAATACTAATTTAGTAATTATAATCGTAAATCATCATCATAAACCGAATTGATAAGCTGAATTCAATTTTTGTGGTTTCTCAAAAGTTCGGTTTGACTTTATTGTGATAAATAAGACGCATTTATCGAAGTGCCATACAAACATGTTTCGAACATGTGATGTAGCCTCTTTCGTATTTTTATTATCTATTTTTTATTTTTATTATTTGCATGCTTACAAATTCGCCGAAACTTTCTAGGTATAAGCTGCAGTAAGCAGGATAATTGTTGTAAATAAATTAATTGACGATAATTGGATATGAAGGCTTGCAATTAACCGTAAAGTGTAGCTAAAAAGTTAACTTAAGCTTGCCATAAATGTAAAACAATCAAAAGGCCACTCGCAATATAAAAATCAATTGCAAGATAAAATTGATTGTTTCGATTTGCTGGTCACAATCGATTATGATCGATTTTTTCGATTTCGATTATTGATTGTGAAAATTGTTTGAATTTCTTTTCTTGAGCTATTCGAAGAATTATTAGTGAAAGAATTTTTTCTTCGTTCCAATTTGCTGGTTACATAAAGGATCTATAGTAATAGATAGTGTATATTAGCTAGTTGTGGTTTGACATATCCTGCCACAATTAAAAATGAGAGGTGAATATTAATACCGGCACGTTCTCCTTATCCGGTTTCTCTCCATTGTAAGTGTCCGCACGTAAAAAAATGTAATATTCATTATTCACATCTCGATTCCAACATCTGACAGATCAGAATTTTTGACACTAGAAAAAAACCTAATTGAACTGGAGTGGAGGCGACCTAGGTATGATTTATTATTGTAATGGGGATTTGAATTGAAAATTTATTAATAAAATGGAATTGACGAAAGTTTTCTTTTTAAATTTGGAAAGTTGAAGATTGGATTTAGAGTGTGTGTGGTGTGTGTGTGTGTGTATGTATAAGATTTGAAGGAATTGAATCAGATTTGAATTAGAAAATTTGAAAATGAATAAATTTTCTTCACTTTTATAGCAGTTATGCATTGGAATTTTAATTGTAGAATTAATATATTAATATACAGTATATTATCTTTTATGATTTTCCTTCCCACTTTGGCGAGAGAAACATTGGAAGAATAAAAATTGCATCATTTCGAAGCTAGAATTTTTTCTCTTTACAATGATATCAAGTCATCTTCCTATTACTCCCTCCTACAAAAATTAAAAGAGAAATGAGTTCGCTCAAAATGCATATTCATTCTTACATAATTTTTGGCAGACTAAGATCAAATTATGTGACACAGTTTTAAAATCTTATATTTTTAATATATATTATATATCAGTATAATAACAATGCCTTCACATAAAAAACTCAACAAAAAAATCAAACCATTTGCTCCACGCACATATTCAAAACCTTTAAAGAAAATTTTGCAAAAGAAAACGCATTTCAAACAAAATAACAATTCAATTAAACATAAAAATAAATTATTGGTTGAAGAGCTTGACGAATTAGTCAATGAATTATTTCAAATCAAGCCTCTTCCTGCTACAACAACTTCCACTAATGATAATGATGATAAATTGAAAGAGGAAGATAATGAAGAAGAATTGAAAGAACTAGAAGCTTTGATTCGAAAAGAACGATTAATCAAAGAAATAGATGTTACAACAGAAAATTTGGAAAATTTGACATTATCTTGTTTGTAGGCAATCAGTTGATGAAATAATTAGTATGATCTATATCTTTATATATTCATCTCTTTCATAATTATCACCTTCTTGGTCTCCTTCAAATAATTTTGATCTTTAATTTTGTGAGTGGGAGTAATCAACAAAATAAATTTAATATACAAGAAGGTTAAAAAGAAATCAGCACCATGAAACTTTCTAAATATTTTTAAAGTAGTTTATTTTTTACACCTTTATTACCTTTATTAATGTTCATTCGCTAACTATGCAAATTAAATAATGAATAAAACTTTTGTTTCATCTATATATTTAAATTAAGCACATTTTTCTGCCATAAGATTTAAAGTAGAACCATTGAATTTGGTTTTCATTAAATGTATGATTAACTTTTAAATCTAGTGTTTTGCCAGATTTTTTATGAACTTTAAGTGTCAAGGGTTTTCGGGGGCAAATTCAGTAAGTCCTATAATTGATATTTTATCAGTTGGATCAATTTTATCATAATCTGAAGGATCAAAAAATGTTAAGAGGTAAAACTCCTTGTTTCTTCAAATTGATTTCATGAATTCTTACAAATGATTTAACAACCACAGCAACACCATCTAGATGACAGACCTCAAGTGCTGCATGTTCACGAGAAGACCCCTCACCATAATTTTCATCACCAATTACAACCCAAGAAACACCTTTAATATAAAAATAATAATAATAATATATTATTGTTATTATTATTACTGTTGTTGGAAAATATTAATCCCTGGTCATATTCTCCAGTAAAAATGGTTTTAACTGAATTGGCTTTACCATTTTCAGAATTGATTGCTCCAATCAACATATGAAATGTTATCTAAATGTCCACGAAATTTAAGTCAAGGGCCAGCCATAGAAATATGATTTGTTGTACATTTGCCTTTCACTTTAATTAAAATTGGCAATTCTTCTGCATCTTTACCATTCCATTTTGGAAATGGTTCCAATAATTAAAGGCGGGTACTTTTGGGATCTACTAATACTTGAACAGAAACATGGTCCTCTGGAGGTGCTTGATAAGTGTCTACACCAAGATCATAAGCATGAGGTGGCAATTCATTTCCATTTGGACCTTCGAACCTAAAAGGTTTTCCATCACTACCAATCAAAGCATCTTTAAGAGGGTTGAATCTGAGATCGCCAGAAAAAACCATTGCAGTCACAATGCCAGGAGAAGTAACAAAAGCATGTGTTGCAGGATTGGCATAATTACGTCCAGTGAAATTTCTATTATAGGATGTTATAATAGAGTTTTTTCTCCTTTCTTTACATCTTGACGGTCCCGTTGTCCAATACATGGACCACAAGCATTAGCCAAGACAATGCCTCCAGCTTTGGTGATTTAGCTTTAATTCCATGATCAATAACTTGTTTAACAATAGATGGGACATAACTTCATATGAAGAATTTGTACAAGAACCAATCGAACCGACTTTAAATTCTGAGAGCCAATTATTTTTTTCTAGAGTATCTTTAAATTTACTCAAAGGGATAGCAAGATCGGGTGTAAATGGTCCATTAGTATGTGACTCTAATTCAGATAAATTTATCTCTATAACATGATCATAATTGACACCTTCATCTAATTTTAAATTGTGAGAAATGAATCAGAAAAGGCAGCAATTTCAACACGATTAGTGACGCGAAGATAGTCACTCATACGACTATTAAATGGAAAAATAGATGTTGCAGCACCAATTTCAGCACTCATATTACAGATAGTAGCTATTCCGGTACAAGATAATGAATGATTCAACACCTGGACCAAAATATTCAATGGTTGCACCTGTGCCTCTTTTTACAATTAAAATTCCAGCTGCTTTAAGTATAACATCTAATAATTAATAGATATACATGTATTAGTTATTATTTTGAATTATTAATACATAAATTAAAAAACCAGTCAAAGTCAAAAATAAAGACATGCACATATAATTGAATACCTTTAGGGAGCTGTCCAACCACTTATTTTATCAGTTAATTTAACGCCAATAACATTTGGACATTTTAATTCTCATGAAATATCAGCCATGACATCAACAGCATCTGCACCACCAACACCAATAGCCACCATACCCAATCCACCAGAATTTGGGGTATGAAAATCTGTACCAATCATAAGGCCACCAGGAAAAGCATAATTTTCTAAAATAATTTGATGGATGACACCAGAACCAGGCTTCCAAAACCCAATATCATATTTTGCACTGACAGAAGACAAAAATTCATAAACTTCAGCATTGATTGATATTGCTCTTTCCAGATCTTTAACACCACCTGTTTGAGCCTCAATTAAATGGTCACAATGAACCGTTGTTGGAACAGCTACTTCTGGAATACCAGCAGAAATAAATTAAGCAGAGCCATTTGTGCAGTAGTATCTTAGCATGCAACATGATCAGGACGTAATTTAAGGTAACTTTGTCCTCTAATAATTTCTTGATTGTGAGGATCATCCAAATGACCATAAAGAACTTTTTCAGAAAGTGTTGGTAGTCGGTTAAGTCTGCAATTCAAAAAAACATCATCACCACCACCATCATCATCATCAAAATTAATTGAAAAGGTTAATTAATAATCATTACCTTTTTTTTCACAATGGCTAAATGATCTTGTATTCTTTGATAATTGATATATTTATTAGGCTCAAAATTTGAAAATTTGAACCTTTTTATTACTAATTTCACCAGAGATGACTTGAGCAAAGTTACGACATTGAAATTTGCTTGATGAAGATAATATCTAGCTTGTAAAAAAAAAATCCAATAATAATTTCTCAATTAATATAAATTATATAAATTATATATATATTTTAAATAATTGACGGATGATCATTATTTAAAAAAAAATCGCGTATAAAATTTCATGTCGATCATCAATATAATAAACCATTTCATTTTCAGTAACACCTGTAATACCAGCACCAATTTTTTCAACGTAATTACTTCTACTACAATTTTTTTATTTATTAAACAAAGGCTTCAACTTTAACTCTCCATTTAGATACAAATTGCCACAATGCTTGCAAGTGAATGTTAGTATTAATTTCAATTAATTTTCTGTGGTTCAATTTTCCAGATGTATTTTATCATTATCTAACTTATTCGCAGTGTGTTGTTTCTAGCTTCCGATTTGCTTGATATAATTCAAGTTTGATACCAAAAGAACTTGAGAACTTTTAGGTGATAAAGGTAATCTGTTAGGACGAACATAAATACCTTTTTGAACACTTTCTTCTACTACCCTATAAAAAATAACAGTGAGAATATTTATGTATATATGAATAATTTTTTACACAATTGGGTGGATAAATTTTTATTTTTTAATCTTATTAATAAAAATTCTAGACAAAAGTCGGGCGCATTTTCAAACAAAAATTGCGCGAAAACACCAAAATTGACTATTTTTTTCTTCAAAAAAATGATTGTTGAAAAATGCACATAATAATCATACCCAAAAATTTAAAATTCGATAAACAATATTAATATCTTGTTGGCCATCCATTATTTTCAATGACTGCTTCAACTCTCCCTCAATCAATTTAATTAGGACATCATTTGTTATCAATGTAATTTTGAATAGTACGAGTCGCTGTTTTCCTATGAACACCAACAATTTTAGTTATTTTGTGGTTTGGTACATTATTTTTATATAGACCGGTGATTTCACCACGTTGACTTTCACTTAAGGGTGACATTTTGAGTTTAAAATTTTTCAAAGGAATTGTTCAAAATTTTATTAAAATGATGTTTGTTTACAAAAAAATTCAAAACAACATAGATACTTATTTAAGACGTTTGTTATCATGTGCCAAAAATTCTTCGAGCTTGGTTATTAAATACGATTTTGTTCAATTAAATTTTTTTTTGTCAGAAAAATTTTTGGTCGGATTTTTTAACTGTTATTTTCTTAGGCATATAAAAGTTTTAAATTTTGCATGCAAAATTTTGATATAAGTTATTTGTGTTTTTATTGTGTGCGTTTTTGCGCAATTTTTGTTTAAAAATGCGCCCGACTTTTGTCTAGTGGTAAAAAAATTAAGGGTAGAAGATCTACATACACACGTAAAACTCGATAAGTCGGACGCAGCAATCAATTGTTTAAAGTACTCGACTTATCGAGTTTTACATGTTAGTACAAATTTTGAATATGGAAATTTGGCCATTGATAAAGAAAAAGTTCATTTTGAACAATATAACTTTCATAAACACATAGATATTTATTTTAAGTCACAAATGCCTGATATTAACTTATTAATAACTATATTACATGTTTATGATCTATGAAATGAGATTAAATTAATTCTTTATTTTTTATTTTATAGAATAAATGATCAAATGACTTATGCATGACCAGCCATCAAAAGTCATTGTCGCCTGCCAATACTGGATTGATTGGTTTGTGTTTTATAAAATTGTTAGAATTAGATTTTTTTTTTTTTTAAATAAATAAATGAATGAACGAATAGTAAAATAACTATATTTACAATCTAATGAAAAAATAGATTCAATGGTTATAATAATTAAATAACGATGTTTAATTTTGTGCTAATTCATCTTTACTTGGTTGAAAATGAAAATTCCAACTATCCAACCACATTCTCCTATAAACTTGCCAAGGATCTAATTCTGTGCCGTAAGTCAGTGGTGAGAAATATATAAAAGTTGAAATCACACATATTATAATAATCGACCAAATAATTATTGATGATTTGGTAATTGATGAATTTGTTGTTATTATTTTTTGTTTAAAATATTTATTATTCTTGTTCTTATTATCATTAATACTTTGATTATTCTTGGTCAATTCATCATCCATTATTAATGGCAGTGATGATGATAATGATAACGATAGTGACGATGATGATTGTTGTTGAAATTCTACTAATCCTTCTTCTTCTTCTGATAATTGATGATGATGACACGAAGAGCTTTTATTTATAAAAGAAATTGGATAATTTATAGAGTTTACGAATATTAAATTAAATGTTGTAGCCGTTATTATGTGACTGCATATTAATGCTGGTATATAATGGTGTAAAAATAATGATCGGCCCATTAAGAAAAATGGTATATAATGAAATAAATATCCCAACAAGAAAAAGCCACCAGAATTAACCAATCTATGCCAAACAACTAAAAATTCATTTAAAAATATTATTATTGTTGTTGTTGTTATTACCAATGAATGAATAATAAATAAATATGTTTTTTAAAATACTTACAATCGTTAAACAGTTTGACACCACGTCTTCTAATAATTGTTTCTACACTAATCAATAATATCAAGGTGAAAATAGAAATAACAGAAAGTAGCCAACTGATTGGATTACCCAATAAATAAATTTGTCGCCTTTCTTCCTTATTTGTCCAGAATGATATACCACTTGTTAAAAATAACCAATCGATTGGTCGGCTTTGATAAGGATGGGGAGATACAATTCTGGAATTGCGCTCGATCATTAACAGTTGTAATTCAAAAAATTTCCTTATAAATGACATACTGTGTACTGGTTTTTTTGTTTCTAATGGCCTTGTTACTAGTTATAATTACAAAAACAGGTTGTTTATTATTATTATTCAAAATGTGATTAACCATTAATTTGTTTGTTAATAGGAATAATAATAAATACCATTTTCACGAATTATTTCGTTTGCTATCCAAATGTTAGATCCTTTAGTAATCTGTTTATTTCCATTAACTTCTTGTTGACCAAATGCCCATTCTGGTAATTTAGCATCATGTGTCCAGATTGCAACATTAGTTTTCCAATGTATCAACTTTATATAACTTGATTTAGTTTTCCAATTATCATCACCATTTTCAATAAAAACTTGAAATATAGTATCATTTATTCTACCATAATTTTCAGTGATGTTTATAGTTGTGACTTCTTGATTTGTAACCATTAACGGACTTGCCACGTCATGAGTTAGCAGCAGTGTATTGGTGTTTACATGTTCCAACATAATGAAATCTTTATGTTTAATCAAACCATTTTCGGGTCTTTGTTGTAGAGGTATTGATGATGGTGGTGAAATTATTTTCCAATGATTATTGGCGTCTTGAAAGCGATAACCAGTTACTTGTTGTCCTGCGCTGCTTATACGTTCATCATCATAAACTCTTGGATATCTTTGAGTGTGTGAATGTAAATATACTTTTGTACCTTTATGTTTTAAAGTAATTGTATCATTGTAGTTGATTGATTCACTTTCAAGTAGCAAGGAATTATTATATAAAGTTTGTTGAAACTCTGGACTCATATATGTATCACCTGGTCCACTGGTATTTAATATTGCAAAATGAATATAAAACCAAAATAAATAAACAATTATAGGAACAATTATTAATCCAAATGCGCGCCCTAAAAAATGCTTATTAAATTGTTCCTTTTTTTTAAAAAAAATTAAAAATGAAAAAAAAAAATTATTATTATTATCATTAAAAATATATGTTTTATTTTCAATAAATCATTCCTTACTAATGTTAATCCACGCCTTATATCTGATAATTCCCATAAATCAATAATCACCACTGTACCAATCATAAGTATTGTGAATAAACCAACCATTTTTACACTAAAATAAATATATACGCGTTTTGAGTTAATTATATTTAAATCAAATTTAAATTTTTGATGTATATATCGTTATATGAAGGTCATTATAAAAATTACCTTAATGTTAATCCAAGTGAAATTCCAGTCATTATTAACCAAAACCACCATTCATTACAAAACTCTCTAATAAAATAAATTCTTATTTAAATAAAATAAAAAAACCAATTAAAGGTAATAATAGCTTTCCATTTACCTAAATCGATATTTATAGAATTTTATATAAGAATAAATTGTACATAGCATGAAAAATGCTAGCATCGAATCAAGTAGAATTAAACGTGTTTGACAAACTAGCAAATTATCTATACAGAAAACATAAATTAATAAATATCCATATATATATATATTATAATTCAACATGCATAGATGACAACTCTTACCGAAAATGATTAATATAGCAGCTAGGATTGCTGTAAAAATACTATAACCAGATTCCATCATTATCAAATAAACTAAAGGTACATAAAGAGCTCCAAGTGTAGCAGGTAATGATCTTAATCCAATATAAGGTACGTCATTTTTTAAATAATCGTCACCAATATGTTCAAATAAAAAATGCCCATCATAATTAAGCAACCAACCCATTCCAGCGATCATTAATTTTCCAAGAGGTGGATGAACATCAAAATAATAAGTTCTACGGAGATAATAGCTAGCAAATTTACCAAAATGAACTTCATCAAATCTAAACAGTTTTTTTTTTTAAAAAAAATTAATTGATAATTGATTTGGATTTGAATTTGATTAGGCAATTTATTGAATCTGATTTATAACTTACACAACTTGATTTGGATGATAAATTTTATAAAATCTTGTAATGAATGATAATATTGTGAGTATTGATAATGTTGTTAATGATATAATTTTTGAATTTTTATAGTTTTTCATATTTGTTATTATGTTCTAAGTAAATAAACATGTTATATGTTAAAATTTCAAGCTGATAATTGTCAGAGCATTGTTCTTGAAATATATTATTTACTTTATTTTTATTATCTGGTTTTATATCATCAAACACGTCAATAATTTCTTCATGTTTCTCCTCACAAACATTGATTATTGGCCGTTTACGAATTGTGGTTATATCGGAAGACATTTTTGATTTTTTAAAATTAAAAAATTAAAATTAATATTATTAAATGTACGCATGCATGAACAGATGTAACATTCCTGAAATTGAATTTATAGGAAAAATTTTGATTGGTTAATTTGGTTAAACAATGATTTTTAAAGATTTTACACTTGAAATAAAAGTTAAATATAAAAAAAAGCATGTCAGCTCCAACTCCTGTATCATACTCTGATATTGGTAAGGCCGCTTCAGATTTGTTTAGCAAAGATTTTCCACTTGATTTAAAGCTTGAAGTAAAAAATCTTGCTTCGAATAATGTTGTATGTATGCTATACATTATTATTATTTAATTTCTTTATTTTTTATATTGATTTTATTCTAATTATTGTTCTTATTATCATTGTTATTAGACTTTTACACTTTCTGGTACAAAAAAAACTAAAGACCAAACAACTTATGGTGAATTAAAAACTAAATATGTTTATCCAAAACGAGGAGTCACCCTTACTCAAACATGGACGACAACAAATAATTTGATAGCGAAAATTGAGCTTGACAATAGTCTTTCCAAAGGTTTAAAGCTTGAGTTAGAACCAAGTCTTCAACCTTCATCTGGAGATAAAAATATTAAAGGTGGTTTGATATTCAAACAACCGGGTTTACACTCAAAAGCATATTTTGATATGGACAAAGGTCCTATTTTTCAAGCTGATACTGTGATCGGGAAAGAAGGATTTTTAGTTGGTGGTGATACCTCATATGATGTGGCAGATGGTAAAATTTCACGTTATGGTATAGCTGCTGGATATGTCGCACCTGATTATAGTATCACTCTCCGTGCAACGAATTTATTGTCTACTTATACGCTTTTGTATTTTCATCGTGTACAATCTGATATCGAGGCTGGTGCCAAAGCCGTATTGGATGATAGTGGTATCAAAATGGAACTTGGCACAAGATACATTTTGGATAAACATTCTTTTGTAAAGGTAATTAAATTAATGATATATATTTATATAAAGAATTATTTATCTATATATAATACATTTTAATATTATTTAGGCTAAAATTGATAATTCTGGTTGTCTGGGTCTTGGATACACACAAGAACTTAGACCAGGTATCAAATTATCTTTGGGTGGTCATATTGATGCAACTCGTTTGAGCGAGGATGTACATCGATTCGGGTTCTCCCTTAATTTTGAATCTTAAATATTTTTGATTTTGTATTTGTAGCAATTTATTATGATAATCTATAATGATATATAAATAATGATGATGATATTAATTATATTAATTTCAATAATATTTATATATAATCTTATTGCATTAATTATTTTTAGATTTAGTATTAATTTTTAATGCCGATTTGTTGTTTTTTATTAAAGAATTCAGTTTTGAAAATCTCTTTTAGTTATTATGTTGTTTGAAGATTATTATGGATTGTCGACAGCTTCATCTGTAAGACAAGCTAAAGCGCGAACATTAGCAGCAGCGGCATCTTCTTCTACCATCACTACTACAAAAGGTGAAATAGATAGAATCTATTGGATAAATCATTGATTTTATTTAGTATTAGTACTAGCACTAGTCGCGTTATAACGGATTTTATTTAATACGTGTTTAATTTGGCTATAATAAGGTTTGACTGTAAATATGATAATTGCATATTGGACAAGGTTAATCCATCTTCGTAAAAATGGAGATGTAAGACTAATACTAAGCCAAGACTTCTTCTCTCTATTACTATGATTTCAATTTTTGATATGCTGATCCTTCGTCACGTGAAAGTTTCAGCAATAGAAGACCATATCATAATAGCATTTCCATTTATTATATATCATTCTTTATTTTTACTTGTGCAAGATATAATATATTACTGATTATGGCTATGATTTATTTATTTAAATATTGAAGATATTCTATATAAATATGTCTATCTATAATGTGTTGCAAAAAAAATTTATTTATAGTAATTGGGATGAAATGGATAAAAAAATATACTAAAAAGAAAGCTGAAAACTAGAGGTTCCTATTGATATAAATTTTATATAAATTCATTTTTAATTGCTTTCAATATTAAAGTTAATTTTTGTTCCATTAAAAATTCAATTATAAAGATTAATGAATTCATTCCTCACTAGCCCACCAAAAATCACTCTAATTTCAGGATTTTTTTGGTATTAATTACTTTATGTCTTGCTTAACAAACTTTTAAAAATTTTGGTGTTTTAATAAATGAGCATTGTTGAATAATCATCTCATGACTAACAGGTCATCTTTAAGCTTAAGTTCTGATGAATAATTAAATAACTGACTTTCAAAAATTATATTTAAATCAAAATAACTTCTTAATCTTTGTAATAGGCTTCTGAATGATTCTTATATAGAAAGATGTGACAATTACTGTTGGAAATATCCTTTCCCCCAATTGCACCAAAAATTTTCCAATTTTTTTTTGTAACACACTATATATATATAAATATGTCTATATATCAGTACCAGACACCCTTCTTCCTTTTACAAATACAGCTTTAAGATTTCGTTCATCACCAAGAAATAGAAATTTTTCAAAAATTCTTTCTAAAGCATCATCAATATTATCAAATATATCAAGTGGTGAATTCTTTGCTTCTGGATCAACCCATAACGCATCAAACTCCTTACCAATTATAAAATTACCAATAACGTTTTGAAGATTTACCAATTCTGCACCACCCATTGTTGCCAAATATGTTAACTCTGAAAGCGTCAAGCTTGAATACGCACTGATACTATTATCATTATCATCACATTCTTCGCCTTCTTTTTCTGATGACGCCATATGAATAACACGACTTGCTGTACTTGCACTTCTTATAGCATCTAACATAGATTTTGCATGGCCCCCACTAATATCTGTACCCAAACCAACTTTAATACCATCATTCAACAATCGTCTAACATTGCACACTCCGGATCGAAGAGCAAAATTTGAATTGGGACAATGTGATATGCCAACTTTACGTTGTCTAAGTAGTTTTCTCTCTTCCGATGATAAATGAATACCATGGGCCATTATTGCTTGATGATTCAATAGTCCATAATGATCATAAACTGCCGTATAATTCTTGATATGAGGAAACAACTTTTTGACAAGTTCTAACTCTGCAGTATTTTCTGAAAGATGTGATTGAATTGGTATATCATATTTTTTTGCCAGAGTACCAATGGAATCTAATAATTGAGAAGAACAACTAATAGCAAATCGGGGAGTTAGTATTGGAGCCACGAGACATGTTTTTTTGTCTTTATTATCAATATCAATATTAAGATTATTATTATTAATATTATTACTATTATAACTATTAATACTGCTACTAATATTATCATCATTATTATTAATATTATTATTAAGACTTAAAACATATTCTACAAAATGCTCTGTATCTTTAATACTAGATTCAACATTTTCTTCAATATAATCAATTGGACTATTACAATCCATATTAATTTTACCAACAAACGCTCGTTGACCTTTCTGATTAATCACATCCACCAGATATTTACTAGCTTCCAAATGAATGGTTGCATAATAAACAGCTGTTGTAGTGCCATTACGTAACAAATGATTTACTACAATTGGATAGATTTTTTTGGTAAAGTCCATTGACGAATAGGATTTTTCAAGTGGGAAAGTGTACTTTTTCAACCATTCAAGTAATGGAAGATCCATTCCAGTACCAGCGTTAGGATATTGTGGAGCATGCTGTTTTTTTTTAGAGAAATTAAAAATAAAATAGTAATTATAATAATAGTATAATAATATATTGATGGATAAATACTGTATGAGTGTCCACAAATCCAGGCATTAAAAATTGCTTTTTTGTTAAACGTATAACCTTTTAAATTTAAATATATAAATATGTTGATATGTTATATAGAATTAATTAATATTTCTTTTTTTAAAAGAAATTTTAGGACTTGCCTTTTCTTTTGAAGCCTTCCATTTGTCTAAAAGATTGGAAAGAATTTGTTCGTCAACAACATTTTTTTCAATAAAAGCAATTTTTCCTAGAGTATCAACACCTAATAGAGCATCCTGTATGATTTCTAAGTTGGAAAGAGATAATGAATGTATCAAAGTACCATAAAACACTAGAGAAATTTTTGTGTACATTTAAAATCAAAAATAGAAAATTTTAACTAACACTATTTTTATATTATTATCGTTCGACGATCATTCTGATGTAATGAAAAATGAGAGTATTTAAAATTCTTTCTATATAGAAAAATTGGGTTTTTTATTTTTTATTTTTTTTTAAAAAAAACTTAAAAATCATGAACGATATCGTTCTTCATTTTTCAGGTATCGGCGGCCTTATTATTGTAAGTAATTTTTTTTCATTTCTCTTTATCTCGATTTATTTAAAAATAAAATTAAACATTTTCTTTTATTGTTTAGCTTATATTAGACCTTATTGCAGTTTTTGAAGTTCTTAATAGTAATCGTGACGTTCTCAATAAATTCATTTGGATCTTGATGATTTTATTATTCCCAGTCTTTGGACTAATTATTTACTTGTAAGTTTAACCAGCTATTTGATAATAACATATAGGGTGTATAAATTCATAATAATATTTGATATAAATTGTTTAGATTATTTTCTAATCGTCGAGATCATGAGTTAGATTATTTTTCGATTCCTTGAAAATATGCGAGAACTGAAATTTAAAAAATATAAATTTTTTACAATTATTATCCTTTAACATTACGAAAAAAGAAAATCATAATGTTAATAACAATATTGTTTTTTGAATAAACCAAGCTTTTATTATTATTTTTTAAAAAATAAATTCTTTGCCAAATCTCAAGGCCTAAACATTTTGTGAAAATGATCATCCTACCTTATTTAAAGAAAAAATATTTACATTAACATTCATGTATAATTACAGTAAAGCAATAACGTGATACTAAATCAAAAATAACTACAAGTACCTTTCCCAGTTAATTGTTTTTGGACTCATTTTAGGAAGTAATGGTTGGTTCTGGTTGAATCTATTATCTGCTATTTCTAAGATTCAAAGCTAGATGTTGGACAACCATCTACAATATGTACGTAATGAGGGAAATCTTTACGTTAAGGGTAGGCTCTATGCGTACACTCAACATGTTTTCAATGATTTCAGAAACGGTCAACACATCAATAATTTTTTCCCTTTAGAGCAAAACACCAAAGTCCAACAGGAGAAATGGTCGGAATGGCAATTAAAGCTCCCTACTATTACTATTGGTTGGTGTATTTAGGCAGCTTCATTTGCTGATCATTGACAGAATTGAAGAATACAATTCTCCAGGCTTCTTGATGACACCACAATCTGAGAATAGTTGCTTGCATCCAGAGGTTGATTTGACGCAAAGCTTACATATCTCTCATAAAACTTACAATTTCTCTTACAATTGTCTATCGTCTTCATAATAATGTCATCAAGTAAAATTTTCGCGCTTGTGAAGCTGATTGTACTCAATATATATCTTTTCCCGAGTCTGTTGTAGCAAGCTCTCTCGCCATGACTACATCAAGGGTTGTAACCACTTATCGAATCTTTCAGAGCCATATTCATTAAAGTAAATACCGAGATTGTTTATGATTGACTTAACATGCTTTTATCAGGAACTTTCAAAATCTCATCTATGCATAAAAAAGTATAAGTCTTTCACTAGAGTGATGGTAAATAGTGTCAAATGAGGGAAATCTAAAAAAAAAATTTTTTGGAACTTTCTCAAAAAGTAATCCATGTTAGTTCTTCCAAATCAAATAAATAGCTCCATAAGATGCGCAAAGCTAATTCTTGTGGTGATATTTCCTTCCAAGTATTCCACATATGAAGCATTTCCGCTGTACGTAACACTAATACTAATACTAATACTAATGGTCTCGATTTCATGTATAATTACGCAAAATTTTTTATAGCTATAAATTTCACATTTTTAGTTTTCACGTGTATTTTTTATTTTTTAAAAAAAACGAACTTCAATGATCAACCTGAATGTTTAGACTGAAGCTGAGCGAGGAAATTTTTTAGGTCTTAGAGGTAGTAACGCTAGAATATCTTTAGTAAAAACGTTCGATGTTATAAGAATGCAGTAAGTTTGAAAAGACACGAAATTTATCCTAAAATGTTTGAGAATTGGAACTTCTTTGAAAGAGAAATGCTCTAAAGTTCCTCAAACAATTTATCACAAATTATTGAAAGCATGCCAAGGAGAATAGTGAGGAATGCATTGTCAATAATGGGTAGCCAACAGAGTATTTATTTATTGGTTGTATTATTTTAAAATTTAAAAATATTCGTGAAAGCTAAAAACATAAACATTTTATAGGCATGTTCTTAAAAACCTAAGTTACTAAATGACATTATTGTTAAAAAAAAAATTGCGCAAAGATTTATTTATTTATTTTATTTTATGAATTTAATATAACCTGATTTTTAAATCTAATCAAGCACAATAATATGTGAAGAAAACAATTTTTAATAAATCTTTTTTAACATCTTATTTATCATATTTATATTTATATATACTGTATGTATGTATAATTAATGAGATGTTTCAAGATGTTTCTTATATGCTACTTCATCCAATAATTCTTTTAATTCTGATGAATCGGAGAGTTTGATTTTACATAACCAACCTAGATAAAATAATAAATCAAAAAAAAATAAAGATAATCAATTAAATCATCTCCCGTAATAATAATAATAATAATAATAACAACAACAACAACAACAACAACAACAACAACAACAACAACAACAACAATAATAATAATAATAATAATAACAACCTTCTGATTCAGCACTATTGTTAATTAAAACAGGTTCAGTTAATAATTTTTCATTAGATTCAACAACTTTACCACTAATAGGAGCATAGATATCACTGGCAGCTTTAACACTTTCAACTGAGCCTAGAACGTCTACATATACAAATATTTATGTTTATAGAAAATTATTTAATCAACAAGAAAAAGAAAAAGAAAAAGAAAAAGAAATTTTACCTGATTTCTTAACTTCAAGTCCAATATCAGGCAATGCAACATAAACTACATCACCAAGAGAATTTTGTGCATAATCTGTAATACCTATAATTCCAACTGAGCCTTCATCATCTTTAATTTCTATCCATTCGTGTTCTTTGGTAAATTTTTTTGCTAAATTTTTTTTTTTAGTCCAATTCACATAAATAAATAAAAAAGACAATAACAACAATGACATTATGCTACATACTACTATATCCACGAGATAAAAATGCAATGCTATTAATTCTAAAAGTTGGAATAGTCGATGATATTATTTTAGATGATATATTTCGAAGAAACATGATGGATAATTACGAAAAATGTTAAAATTTTTTTTTGATAATTTTCAATAGATCTACATATATACAAGTTTATTCAGGGCCCGGCTGGATCAGCCAACAATGTCTATCAAATCTGACCGTGCCACACATACGAATTTGCATGTAACGTCTATCTATATATATTTGGTTAGGACTCACTTGTAAAAATTTATAACACAATCACCAACACCACTATAAAATGGCACTTTTCCAATGCAACTATTATGCAAATCCATATACTCTAGAAGATTCATATGTCACTGGATGTATTTTATTATTTTATGATTATTGAACAGTGGATTTCTGGTAATAGATGTTACAGTTATGTAATTTCTCCTATATTTACTAAGTAATTAAATTATATATATAGACCATACATTATTAGATTTAGCAATGTTTAACAGAATAATTTGAATCAAATTTTAATAAGAAGCATCACTTATTTCAGCTTTACAAAAATATGAAGCACTAACTGATTCATATTCATCAATAATATGGTAAATACATAATAAAATATATAGAACATTTATTAAAAAAACAAAAAAAAACATTAATATTTACAGGATATTTTCTTTGCATTTAATTCATTTTATTGGGACGTTGCAAAAGATTGGAATTTATACTAATGCATCCAAAACCATATATACCAAGTCTTAAATTAAGACAAAATTTAATATTTAAGGGTCCAATAATATATTAATTGCAACAACTATAGATTTTTTATTAAGATTTACCTTGTCATTAAAATTATCATCACATTCACATGTAATATATCAATTGGAAGGCAGTGTTTCCTAATGGAAGTTTAGGAAGTTTTGAGATGTTGTAGATGTTTTTAGATTGGAAAATGCATGGGTTGAAAGATTAGAGAAAGGAGGTTTATGGCCATTAGAATTCAGCAGGTACAATTCGTATGATAGAAAGAAACAGTTTTGATGATGATATGATTATAGATTATTAATCTTTCTAATTATTTAATTCTTGTTGTTCTTGTTTGATATTTCTTCATTTTATTATTGTGTTTACCACCATAATATATTATTTTAGTATACATGTATAAATTTTTATATTGGTTTTGGACAAGTAATATCTTTGTATTCGAATGGGCAAATATTATTACAAAGGCATTCCTTCCTTTTGTAGTCCAAAGGAAGAGGTGTTAACACTAAAATAGATAAAGTTTTAAAAATGTCTTCCGTCTTAGTTTTCAATAAATTGGATTCAGTAAAAGGACCATTAACAATCTCCTCAGCTTTGACCACACCAAGATTAGATGCTTCAAAAAGGGAATGTCAATATTTCTGTATGCTTGGTAATTTCTTTATTGACATCAGCATAGTTTTAATATCAATATATGAGACAGACTGTAACAAAACCAGACAAAGTGAACATTATGTCACAATGATGTCTTATTATTATATCTTGCTGCCGCCTTTTCAAAATCTTCATCTTTTAAATTACTGACTGAAGTTTTGCGTTAGATCCTTGGAGATGTTTGTTGCATTTATGTTAAAATATTGTATTATGTTAATTACTCAAGAGAAGACGACACATTGAAAGTAATTAAGAAAAGAATTTTTAGAATAATAGATTTTGCCAAAGATGAAACAAAGGAAATAATTATGTGATGTAAAGTAAAATCAGAAGGATGAATGGATGATAATATTGAATATTTAGAAGAAATTTGGAAAATTATTGAAACCATGCTACATAGTATTAATGATCGATTAAGAGGAATTGAAAATTCCTCAAAAATCATGAAATGTATTTTTTATCTTTGACACAGAGAATAAATTGGATGAAATTGAAAAGAATTAATAGAAAAAGAAATTTTCCAGAAGCCCAAGTTGCCGAATTATAAAACGAAAAAGAAATTTCCTAGATTTTAGTTAGAAAGCCCAGGAATGATGAGCAAAAGAAGAAAAAAAACCAAGACAAAAATAATAAGTTTGGAAAAGGAAATTGAAGGCGGAAAAAACCAATTCAATCATTAAAGGAACTAAATCACGTATTAAATCAAGCTAAGGGAAAAGCTTTTAATGTCTTACAAGAAACAACAAAAACGAATACAAAGGAGATACACAGAAACAAGCAATATCAAGAAATTAATAAGTATTTATTGAATTTGAGCCCAAGAAATAAATGATAAAGGAAACCAATTAGCAAACAAGTAACTTTTTGTAAACCTTCCTATTTGACTGCGCCATATACACAAATTTGTTAAATGTTAATTGGTTAACGATCGCCAACTGACGATCATTTAGATAATAAAATAAACCAATCATATTTAAAGCTCGCGCTATATTAATCCAAACCCATATGGATTGATTAAATGTAACCTTTTTAGAAAGTGCCGTTACTATTTTTATTTTTACTATTTTGGGGTGCTATTCTTCGGGGGTGATAGTTTTTTTAAAAAGATTAAAACTTTCAATGGAATTCAAAGTTTTTAACAGCATCTTTTAAGTTATCGTAACAAATTCTTCTATTATAACATTCTAACTTGACTTTATTTTTTTAATTTGAAATACTTGCAAAAAAAGAAATTTTTTTGAGTCTTTAAACTACTTGTATTACATGACCAGAAATCGGCCCATTGGGAAGTTTTTGTTGATAAAATTGGCTGTCTAAGAGGTGTTACTGCATGACATTTACTAGTTAGTACTGGATGTATACTTGCATGTAAATCGCAGATTAAACACTACTTAACCCTTCCTTTTTTTTTTTTTTAATTCAGCCTTCTAGTATCCTATTCATGTTGATAAATACATCATTCTTTACTGTCTTTTATATCTTATAATATTCCATTTCCCTTCCTAACATAATAATAACATTTTTTAAAAAATTTAAATTTTTATTTAACATCAAAAATTCAAACTATATCAAGTCATTGCTTTTAGCTATATATTCAATTTACATCACAAAACAAATAAATATAAAAATGTCAAAAAAAAGTAAAAATATATTAAGAATAAGAAATAACCTTAAAAAAGTTGCTGTAGCTGACAACGAAGATAGAAATAAAGCAATTAATTTGGCCATAACAAATAAAAATATTACAGAACTTCGTAGATTAGCAATCACCGGTCCTGGTTTTATGAACGATGGTTTTCGTAGATTATGCTGGTATTTATATATAAAATTATCATAGAATTGATTATCAGATCATCAGATACCAATAATGCAAATATATTTTAGGCCATTACTTCTACACACCGAAAACTACAATGAGAACACTACTCGAGGTTTTAGTCGGTTTTTTTTTTAACCATTTTATATAAATTTTTGATTTATTTCTCAAAAATTGTTTTTTTTTTAAATTGCAGAAGTTCATAAGGACGAATATCAGGTACTACTCGATGTTCATCGATCATTTGTCCATTATCCTCAAGGTAACACAATTTTCACCATTACAATTTAATTAATTTACAAATGCATTGAATTTTTAAATGAATTTTTAAACGAATAATTTTAGGTTTGAGTAATTCACAAAGAAAACAAAAACAACGTGAATTAAACGAAGTTATAGTAGGAATATTAAGAAGGCATCCTAAATTATCATATTACCAAGTTAGTATAAATAAATGTCTTGAATAATAAATGAATGGACAATTAATTTACTCTATTTTTGTACTTGTTATTTTTTATGATATTAAGGGGTTCCATGATATCTGTTCAAGCTTACTTCTTGTGCTGGGCAAAGAAGGCGCTATCAAAGCAGGCGGACACATTGCAATGTTTTTATTAAGATATCCTTTACGTATACGTATATATGACATTTTACAACTGTGATTTATCCGCAAATGATTTAATTGATTCCTTGACAAATATTATTATTGTTGTTGTTGTTGTCAATACGGACGCGATGTTAGATTCTTTAGAACCAATATTGAAACAATTAAATCTTATATTTACACTGCTAAGACATGAAGATCCATTGGTTGCAGATCTTCTTTTACGGTATTTACATGAAAGAAAAAAATTATCTCTATTATTTTGAAATATGAAATTAGTTGGTTTATTAATTAATTAATATTTATAATACCATATCGTTATAAGATCAAATATATTACCATATTTTTGTCTTAGTTGGGTTATCACATGGTGTAGTCATGATTTAAGAGATTTTTCAAAGATTGCAAGACTATTTGATTTTTTTATAGCCTCACATCCTTTAATGATTATTTATTTATCTGCAAAGGTGACTATTAAATTTATTTCTTTTTATAATGATTTTTGTTTTGATTATTATTATCGTTATAATATTATCTAATGGAATCTTTTAATTTGAATTATAAAGGTCGTGTTAAGTCGTAAGAAAGAATTGTTGACCTTAGAACTTGATAGTGATGTAATTCATACATTCTTGTCAAAATTTCCACAAAACATCGATATTGATGATTTGATTTCAAAAACACACACCATGTATCAAAAATTCCCCCCAGAGAAATTACAAACATTGGCTAATTCGGGTTTAGACCAAACGTAAGTTAATAATATTCATGTTTATATGTATATACTTGTAAAATTATCGATTAATTTTATTTTCGACAATATTGTTTTATTAATATTTCATAGTTTTCATAAAGATCTTGCATAAATTTATATAACGAACACTGGCTAACATTAAAATCCGGAGAAAAAATCGACTATGCTGTTATAAATGAAATTTTATCAATGCCACCCTCAGCAAGAAAACCAATAACACTTCCAAAAAATGACAGTCATTTCACTAAAAGAGTATTTATATCAGCATTTATTTTTACTGCTGCTATTTTACTAATTTGGTTGATAAGGTTAGCATTTATTATTTGAAAATTTATTAATTAACGTTTACGAATATATATATATATGAATAATTAATAAAATATTTATATATATATAATATTTATTCTAGAAATAATAATAATAGTAATAATAATAATGAAGAACTATAAATAACACAATTAGCGAAGGTGTGATGGTGAAATAAATAATAAAAATCATAAAAAATCATAAATCCCTGGGCTCTTAAATAATCATTTTTTCCCGATTTTAATAGACTTTTTTTTTTGAATTGATATAGATTATATATAAAATTAAAGATAGTATGTATAAAAATTAATTCAATTATAATAAATCTATTTGAATCACAAGTTCATGAATTATTATTATTACTTGATTGCAATCATATTTATGCGACGCACAAAATAAATATTTATTAGTGATTAAAACTTATTAATAATATTAATAGAATAAAATTATAAATTATATATTTAAAATTTGATAATTTCAATTAATTATTAAAATAAAAAATACAAATACAAAATCTAAATTCATAATCTAAAAAAAATCTTTTTGCCCTTCCAAATTATTTTTTTTTAACGTAAATAAATAAAAAACACATTGATTTAACATTATAAATAATAAAATTAAATAACCGAATCGCTAGATTCAATGGGTGACTGTGTAGAGTGTGATGATAATGATTGTTGTTCATTATGTTTAGAACTAGATTCCTTCAAAGCCAACAATTGTTTAGAACGGAATGACTCGTAGTGAATTTGGGCAGTAGTTTCAATAAGATCTTGAAGATGAGTTCTATATTCATTTATTTATTTTTATTAATTCTTTTTCTGATTATTAATCTTTAATTTAAAAATTATTTTGTAAAATCTCACCTTGTAAGGAAATCTCTAAGATGAACAAATTCACAATGATTTTCATCTTCGACTAATTGGAATAAATAAACAAAATAATGTTATCTAAAGTATATATACATATGTGTGTGTGTGCATGCGTTTATACTGATAAATTTAATATACCATTAATAACACCCCATCTATTTTTACGTCCATGAACAGATTTGCCATCAATTATAACATTTTTCTCGGAACCAACGACTGCAAATGGAATTGTTTGCTAAAATAAATGGGAAAAGTTTGTGAGAAAAAGGAATTTACTTTTAATAAAATTATTTAATTATTAATCATTCTTGAAACTTACCTTGATACGTTCATTGAGTGCTTTCTCATTAACATCAAGTTCGTCACTGTCATATGGATACAATTTAATGTTATTGAAAGCCAATTCTGATTTTATCTATGATAAAATGATGATAATAATGATGATGATATTATTTATTTGTAAATATAATATACGATATTCAACAACGGCATAATTAATAAAATATGAAATAACGACATACTCTTTCTTTGAAGGCAACACGTTCCTCCATTGTAAGAGAATCCGACTTTGCAATAACAGGAACTACGTTCACAACTTCAGAAAGTTTTTTAAGTACCACAATATCAATTGGTTTAAGTCTGAGAGAGGAAGGATTGATTGATTATATGAGATTGATTTTCTTTTTAATAAATAAAATAAAATGATATTATACATACGCATGACCAGTTGGTGCAATAAAGAACAAGCAACAGTGAATTCTGGTATCTTGAATGTATCTTTCGCGTGTAGCAGTAAGCTCTTTACGTAAGTAAGCACTGTGTTGATCTTTAACATATTTAATGATTGGTTCCCAACTAATAATTATTAAATAGCATCCATCAACAAAAGAATTCAAATGAATTAAATTTACAATATTCTAGAAAATTAAAAGATATTATTGGTCTTATTTATATTTTTTTTTTTTTACCAATTATCATTGTTGACTTGATCGCCATATCCGGGAGTGTCAACTATATTCAATCTTAAGCGAATCCCATTTTCTTCAATTACTATTTTAATAATCATTAAAAAAAATTAGTCTCAATCTCAAACACTAAAATAATTTAGATTAACAATACTGACAATGTGATACTGCTTGAATCTCGGTGGTTTGTCTAAAAGGTTCTTCAGCGCTAGTACGTCCTTTGCTATCGATTAAATGTGCAGCAAAAATAGTATTGATAAGAGTTGATTTACCGAGTCCAGTTTGTCCTGATAATATTTAAATACAAGATGAGCAGAAAAAATAAATTCCTTTGTTGATAAAATAATAAATAAAATAACGAAAACAACAATAAAAAAATATCAAATTTACCAACTACAATAATGTTGAATTGGAAACCACGTTTAAGTAACTTCTTTTCAATTTGTCGAGTAATACTATCAAACCCTACATAGCCATTGAGGGTGACCTAAAAAATTATTATCATCATCGTTATCGCAATAGTTAATGTATTATTGAATGATAGATTTCATTAAATTACATTATTAACATTCATTATAAACAGACGGAGTTGTATTATTATTTGACTTTTGTTTTTAAAAAATTTTAATGTACCTTTTGAGGCTCAGTAATAGTAGCCATATCGAGTATTATTTAATTATTATTTTTTTTATTTGGCACTATTTATTATTGGTAAAATCTTACATGGGCATGCTGTAACAAAGTGATCATTGTGTCACACGGTATTACAGGGATCAAAATTTAATAATAATAATTATTATTTTTATTTTTAAAGTGGTATATATAATACTAATTAATTAAAATGTTCCATCTAATTAATTAATCCCAGTATCCCGTTTTTATTCTAGACATTGCATCTACATTTTGATGCTTCTTTCCTGATCGATGTTCTACTTTGAAATTATATGATTGTAATGTCATAATCCAACGAGCTAATTTTCCTTTCAGTTCCTTCATGTTGTTTAAATATTTCAATGCTGCATGATCCGTAATTAATTTGAACTTGGATGGATCCACTAATAGTCATGTGACATTTCCCTGAGGCTGCTTTTCTATATGGGGCATGCTGCAACAAAACCAGACAAAGTGAACATTGGTATTACCAAGGATTCAGGGTTCAAAATTTAGTAATGTGATTATTAAAATCCCCCATTTGTTATATTTGTTTTTTCTTAATATTAAGTGGTATATAGA